TGGGAATTCGTTCCTCCATCACAAGTCAGGATTCCCAGATGTTCTCCCAACTCCATCTCCCCTCACAATGCGTTGGATTTGTACTGATGATAAAAGGACAATCCGAGAACTGCTAATCTCATTTTGTTACCTGTATAAAAGACACCTGTCCATGGGAGCAATCAAACAATCAGATTCCAAACTCTCCACCATGGCAAAGACCAAAGAGCTGTCCAAGGATGTCAGGGACAAGATTGTAGACCTACATAAGGGTGGACTGGGCTACCAAACTATCGCCAAGCAGGTTGGTGAGAAGGTGACAACAGTTGGTGCAATCATTCACAAATGGAAGGAACACAAAACAACTGTCAGTCTCCCTAGGTCTGGTGCACCATGCAAGATCTCACCTTGTGGAGTGTCAATGATCATGAGAACAGTGAGGAATTATCCCAGAACTACACGTGAGGATCTTGTCAATGATCTCCAGGCAGCTGGGACCACAGTCACAAAGAAACCAATTGGTAACACACTACGCTGACAAGGACTGAAATCCTGCAGTGCCCGCAAGGTCCCTCTGCTCTAGAAAGCACATATCCAGGCCGTCTGAAGTATGCCGTGAACATCTGAATGATGCAGAGGAGGACTGGTGGAAAGTGTGTTGTGGTCAGATGAGACCAAAATCGAGCTCTTTGGCATCATCTCAACTCGCTGTGTTTGGAGGAGGAGGAATGTTGCCTATGACCCCAAGAACACCATCCCAACTGTCAAACATGGTGGTGGAAACATTCTGCTTTAGGAATGTTTTTCTGCTAAGGGGACAGGACAACTGCACCGCATCAAAGGGACGATGGACGGAGCAATGTACCCTCAAATCTTGGGTGAGAACCTTCTTCCCTCAGCCACGGCATTGAAAATGGGTTGTGGATGGGTGTTCCAGCATGACAATGACCCAAAACACACGGCCAAGGCAACAAAGGAGTGGCTCAAGAAGAAGCACATGAAGGTCCTGGAGTGGCCTAGCCAGTCTCCAGACCTTAATCCGATTGAAAATCTGTGGAGGGAGCTGAAAGTTCGAGTTGCCAAACGTCAGCCACCAAACCTTAATGACTTGGAGAGGATCTGCCAAGAGGAGTGGGCCAAAATCCCTCCTGAGATGTGTGCAAACCTGAGGGCCAACTGCAGGAAACGTCTGACCTCTGTGATTGCCAGCAAAGGATTTGCCACCAAGTACTAAGTCATGTTTTGTGAAGGGGATCAAATCCTTATTTCCCTCATGAACATACAAATCAGTCATCATTTGTTAGACATGCATTTCTGCTGAATTTGTTGTTGCTATTCTGTCTATCAGTGTTACAATACACCGAACATTCGATTTTTAGACCGATCATTTCTTTGTGAGTGGGCAAACATTCAACATCAGCAGGGGAGCAAATACGCATTTCCTTCATTGTATATCAGCAATCCCCAACCTCCCCAGCACCACTGAGCAGAAGACAACCCCTCCATAGACCGGGAAGGTTGGGGGGGGGGGGGTGTAGCCTAGTTTTTATCTGGTCACCAATATGGCCTCCATAGCACCGTAAGAGTCTTCAACCTTCCTTTCATCTTCCACACCACTGACCTAACCATGGCTCACCGATTTTAAATCACAGGAATGCCGAGCATCTGAGCGGCTTGGCTGCTCAAGGTCAACTGATCAGGCCTGGTGCAGGGGATTCTGGGATCGGTCTCAGGATTTCTTCAGGTTCTGAAGCCAATGAGCCAATTGGCACCCTCTTCCTAGTACGACAGTGACTCTCCTCACCCCCTGTGCAGGGACACACCCGTGTGTAGTCAGTGGTGAATTTAGGTTTTGTGCACCGACCAACACAACCCCCCCTTCCCCCTCCCATGGAGAGAGCCTGACATTGACCAACAACACCCCTGCCCCCCACCTGGAAGAGCCTTCCACTATCCCCCCCACCAGTGATAGAGAGACACTCATCTTCACAGCTCTGGATATCCAAAAGTCAGGCTCTACGTATGCCATCAAGCAGTCTCTCTCGGATCCCACAGTGCGCGTGTCTGTCCCTTCTTTCATCACTTCTTCTGGGGGGGGGAGGTGCTGCCCCCTTGAAAAATGCCGCCCTAGGCAAGTGCCTTGTTGTCCTTGTGGTACATACGCCCCTGTGTGTAGTGGGAGATACATCAAAATGGGGCTAGCCGGGCTGGGGGGAGCAAACATGAGCAGCCTCGCTCGCATTGTGGCCCGGCCCCCAACGGGTCACGGACCAGCAGTGGTCCGAGGCATGAGGGTTGGGTACCCCAGATCTAGCCAAACCCTCCTTTGATACAGAAGACTTTTTTATTAGTGAGACTAAGCAAAGATTCTGCAGTGGAAATTTCCGGGACATCCTTTCTACACCACAAGCCAGGGTTCTCAGATCTTCTCGCTTCCGGGCAAAAGGCAGAGGGTATGGTGCTCTACAAAAATGCCACGTTGGATCATACCAAAACAATTTAAAATAAAATATCCCATTTGGGTGGGCCGACCCCTTCAAACTGCCTCATCTTTATTGCAGGCCAAACGATTTGGTCTATAAGTGGCCACCATTGGTGGTTTCAGCAGCCTCAGATGGCGTGCTTACTCTGGTGGAGAATTAGTGTCACCTTCTGCGCAAAACATTTGCCGCATTCGGTACAGGAAAACGGTTTCTCCCCGGTGTGAATCCTCATGTGCTTATCACAGTTCCCTTTATTGGAGAAGCACTTTCCGCACTCGGAACAGGAAAAGGGCTTCTCGCCGGTGTGAACCCTCTGGTGCGTATGGAGTAGTGATTTCTGGGTGAACGATTTTCCACACTCGGAGCACGAGAAGGGCTTCTCCCCGGTGTGGATTCTCTCGTGTCGAATCAGTCCCGTTTTGTGATTGAAAGACTTCTCGCATTTGGAACAGGAAAACGGCTTCTCGCCAGTGTGGATTCTCTGGTGCGCGTAGAGCAGCGATGTGTGGGTGAAGGACTTTCCGCACTGAGAACACGAGAAGGGCCTCTCCCGGTGTGGATTCTCTCATGTCGAATGAGTTCTGCTTTTGTTACAAAGGACTTCTCACACTCAGAACACGGAAAGGGCTTCTTCTCGCCGGTGTGGACTCTCCGGTGTATTCGGAGTTGGGATTGGAAGGTGAAAGACTTTTCGCACTCGGAACACGAGAAGGGCTTTTCCCCGGTGTGGATTCTCTGGTGTCGTACTAGTTGTGATTTCTTTACGAAGGACTTCTTGCACTCGGAACATGAAAAGGGTTTTTCGCCGGTGTGGATTCTCTGGTGGACAACCAGGTCTTGTCCTTTGAGAAATGATTTTTCACAGTCTTGGAAAGTACATGGAAATAACTTCTTATCTCTCTGTGCAATGTCAACAATATTAGAAGACGTTTCCTTCGGATCTGGAGATCCATCTGCATTGTGAAAGCTAGGTTGGACGATTGAGATAAGAGCATTTGATTTTTCAACAGTTTCCTCAGAATTAAATCGATCTGTTGATCTCACCATACGATCAAGTCTGTGATGTATATATTGAGTAAAAAGGCTTACTTCCGGAGAACAATGTTCAATGCCATGATTTTCCTCATTAGGATTTGGAGGTGAGATAGGATTTCCCTCTGGGGTATTCCAGCCATCGTGTCTACCTGTTGGAAAAAAAAATCCTTGTTATTAATAGAAACATGTTTGTTGGTCTACAATTATAGCACACCAGTTTAAGATCTCCATAGATTAATGACCTTTACCTCATTTGTTGGGAACATGACGTTCTATTGAGGAATGGAGATTGTCAGGGATTTCGGACTGGACCGCGGCACGCGAGTCTGCACATGCGCGGTATGCCGGGGCGCACTAGCGTGCAGGCACTAGGACCTGGGCGCCCGCGACGGCACTCGCGCGCCTGGCACCAATAGGAGCGCAGGGAGCCCTATTTAAACAGGCTCTGACTGTGTTCTAATTGCCGTATGGTCTTTTCCTGTATCCTGTGTCCTGAGAGATTGCTTTGCTGCTGACCCTGCCTGACCCTGATTCGCTGACTGTCTCCTGCTCTGACCCCTGGCTTGCCTGACCATTCTACTGTCTGATCCTGTGCCTTTGATCTCCTGTTGCCGAACCTGGACCGTGACCCGTGTATTCTTCTGCCTGCCGCTTGTACCGACCTGTCTCCGCTGTTATCGACCTGGCCTGTCTGACTTCGCTCACTCCGCCTCCTCACATCAGACTCTCACCTGCTACGTACCACCAACAAGTGCCTCTACCACAGCTGGTTGCACCCAGGGGCCACGACCTGGTTTCGGCTTGCTCCAAGTCCATCCCCACCATCAGGGGCCCTGGTGAACAAGCAGGTCGGGACTTAGATTCCGCGCCCTGGGGAATTCTGGTCTGTGAAGCGCTAGAGGCTACCGCCGGTCGGTCCATAACAGAGATGGACCTTTCATATGGTGTACAGTATCTCCTCCTCATTTGTTGGGAACATGACGTTCTATTGAGGAATGGAGATGGACCTTCCTCCACTTCATTTATTTTTACTGAGGAAAAGTGATGGATCTTTTAGATGGCGTATAGTAACTCTACATTTGTAAGGAAAAAAGTTTTTTTTTTATTAAGTACACCAATTTAGGTAGGCACACCAGTCATGTTTTTATAGAAAACAATACAGAGTTTTCCATTTATCTTATAGTTTTAAGATGTTCTATATATGGATGAAACAAACTGTGTGACATGGCAAGGTTTGCTGAATCTCTTTCAGTCTACTTGCATACTTCACATTTGATGAAGTTAAATAAAAATGTAAAGTGTTGCATTTCGTGTATACAGTACAATACTTACCTGTGCTAATGCCTAGAGAGGATTCCTCCTTTGTAACGGTCACCATCACTTCAGCTTCATTTATGCACAACTGATTTTCTTCCATGTACCTCTCTTCTTCCTGTTTAACCTCAGTTTTCATATGAATCACTTCTTCCTCCTAAAATCACAAAAGGTACACTGAAGAATATAATTGAATACAGTTCAGAGACAAGTTTGAGTTGGACATGCTCAGTTCCATCTACCTGATGATGGTGAGGGATCTCATGATCTTCCTGTGTGGAATCCCGGGAATACAGAGGACAGGGACATCTCTCTGGTGGGTTCCCATTACTGGATCCGTCTACCTGATGATGGTGGGTGGTCTCATGATCTTCCTGTGTTGAATTCCGGAAATACAGAGGATGGGGACATCTCTCTGGTGGGTTCCCATGACTGGATCCGTCTACCCGATGATGGTGAGGGATGGTGTGATCTTCCTGTGTGGAATCCGGGGAATACAGAGAACGGGGACATCTCTCTGGTGGGTTCCCATTACTGGATCCATCTGTAGGAAACACACACACTGAATCCATTGTTTCTATGTGTGTTTATCAGATGATGGGGGATCTAGGTGGACCCTCCGTACTGCTCTCTCCTTTACAATAAAGTCTCCTCTTACCCAGTGATGTGAGGGGCGGCTGATTGTCCATCATGACGTCCTTGTAGAGATCCTTGTGTCCTTCTAAATATCTCCATTCCTCCATCACGCCATCTTCCTCCTGTTCTTCTTTTATCTCTTCTTTGATACTAATATTCAGATTACAAATTTTTCCACTCTGGATGTAAATTTAAAATAAAATGGTAAAAATGCAGATAATGTGCAGACAATACTGTAACTCTCAGTGACTGTTATCTTTTACCAGATTATAGTGAGGGAACTTGCTTTCTTCCTGTGTGGAATCCGGGGAATACAGAGGACGGGGACATCTCTCTGGTGGGTTCCCATTACTGGATTCATCTGCCTGATGATGGTGGTGGATGGTGTGACCTTCCTGTGTGGAATCCCAGGAATACAGAGGACGGGGACATCTCTCTGGTGGGTTCCCATGACTGGATCCATCTGTAGGAAACACACACACACTGACTGAATCCATTGTTTCTATGTGTTTATCAGATGATGGGGGATCTAGGTGGATCCTCCGTACTGCTCTCTCCTTTACAATAAAGTCTCCTCTTACCGGTGATGTGAGGGGCGGCTGATCCTCCATCATGACGTCCTTGTAGAGATCCTTGTGTCCTTCTAAGTACCTCCACTCCATGATGGAGACATCCTGACACCTTATAGGAACCTAACACACACAATGATACAGTCACCATCCAGACACATCCCTTGTCTGTTACTGGAGAATGTCCCAGAATTCCCAGCACCTCTCACCTCTCCTGTAAGCAGCTCAATTATCTTTTTAGTAACTTCCAAAATTCTCTTATCATTGTTTCTTTCTGGAACCAGTAAGGAATGTAGAGGAACCATAATGGAGTTCTGTCCATCTCCTGATGTCTTTTTCACAACTATGTTATCCTGTGGAGAGATCAGCAATCACTATATCTATTTATCACCGTAAGCCCTTTTAATGATACCGCCTGAACATTTTGATCTGTTACTGATGACCAGTAGATGATGAAGAGAAGCGTATGGGTCAGATATAGAACATTTGTATGTTCATTTTATCAGTCCTGACTAGAGATGAGCGAATCAAACATGACGAAGTGGAATTCGTTCCGAAGATTTGGAAAAAATTCTATTCGCGACGAATCCGAAGATTAGCAAACTTCGGATGCACGAATCAAATTTTCCCAAAAATGGCGGCGACATGTGTGGCCACGGAGAAAATGGACAGAGAAGATGGGGCGGGGATCTCTGGGAAGGCGCGCAGACAAGGCGCGCTGACCCATAATGCATTCATGACATGTGATCGCATTAGCCAATCAGCAGCCAGCCAGCACTATAAAATCGCGGCCATCTTAGAATTCTCCATTAGCCTCGGTCATTCAAGAGAGACAGACCTGTCTGTATTAAGGGACAGAGTTAGGGCCACAGAGACTTTAGGGCCACAGAATCGTTACTCAGGGACACAGAATCGTTACTTAGGGCCACAGCTATCAAAAAATCGAAAATTTAAAGTGACATACACCCTTTTTTTTTTGGTGGCTGTCGTGCACAGTTGGTGCTGCAGTTTGCCGATTGTGCAAAATAACTGACTTTCTGCTTCACAACCACTATTTTACGTTCAAAGAGTTAAATCCATTTACATGCCGGCTGGCGGTAATATTTTTTGGGTGATTAGTGCATTCCAGTGACAGAAACGTACAGTTTCCAGCCAACGGCAAGCTGCAATTGACTGATTGTGTACAATAAACTGACTTTCTGCTTCACAACCACTATTGTACGTTCAAAGAGTTAGATCCATTTACACGCCGGGTGGCGGTAATATTTTTTGGGTGATTAGTGCATTCCAGTGACATAAACGTACAGTTTCCAGCCAACGGCAAGCTGCAAATTGACCGATTGTGCTAAATAAACTGACTTTCTGCTTCACAACCACTATTGTACGTTCAAAGAGTTAAATCCATTTACACGCCGGCTGGCGGTAATATTTTTTGGGTGATTAGTGCATTCCAGTGACATAAACGTACAGTTTCCAGCCAACGGCAAGCTGCAATTGACCGATTGTGCTAAATAAACTGACTTTCTGCTTCACAACCACTATTGTACGTAAAGAGTTAAATCCATTTACACGCCGGGTGGCGGTAATATTTTTTGGGTGATTAGTGCATTCCAGTGACATAAACGTACAGTTTCCAGCCAACGGCAAGCTGCAATTGACCGATTGTGCTAAATAAACTGACTTTCTGCTTCACAACCACTATTGTACGTTCAAAGAGTTAAATCCATTTACACGCCGGGTGGCGGTAATATTTTTTGGGTGATTAGTGCATTCCAGTGACATAAACGTACAGTTTCCAGCCAACGGCAAGCTGCAATTGACCGATTGTGCTAAATAAACTGACTTTCTGCTTCACAACCACTATTGTACGTTCAAAGAGTTAAATCCGGTTTTATTTTTGGGGTGCTTATTGAATTAAAGAGTATGTCAGACAACACGCAGAGGAGTGGCAGAGGAGGCAATGTTTCAGGAGCGAGCAGACGTGGCAGCAGAGGAAGGGGTCGAGGCAGCACTAGTCGCAGCCAGAGGCCAGTGCTCCCGGTGTCATCCAGCGGTCGTGTCTCCACCGACAACCCTGCCGTCATCGATTGGTTGACTCGGTCGTCTTCCTCTTCCCAGGTCACCTCTGACACCTACAGCCAACGGTCGGTGGGTACGTCAGACACAAACCGTTAGTTGGCATGGCCCGGGAGCAAGCCCACTGAAATCACGTGTCCTCGACCTGCCCCTGTCCTTTGGTGTTCCCTCACCAAGCGAAGTATCGCATGCTGTGGGCTCAGCCCCACTGTACAGTGAGGAAGAGCTAACAGAGGGCGGTCAGGAACGGGGGGAGACATCCGCCTCTTCAGCAGCCAGGCGAAGAAGTACTGGCGAGGAGAGTGGCTCGGTAGCCGGTCTAGAGACAGGTCTGTCTCCTGACCCACACGCAGCCGAGGGGGCTAGTAGTGACGCGGAGACCCTAATTGATGATGATGAGGCTGATCGCACTTGGCAGCCTCGTCGTCATCAGGCTATTGCTTCCGCATCATCAGGAGAAGAGGGTGCCAGCTTGCCAGCGAGCAAAACAGTCGGTGGGTTGCCCAGGAGGCAGCAGGGTCGCAGCAGTGTCAGTGGAGCCAAACGGCCACGGAGTAGAGCACCAGCTCCACTGCAGCCTACCACCACGGCCAGTAGTGGTGCCGGTGTGCACGGAGGAAGTAGCAGTCAGCCAGTGAGGAGTAGCGGGGGCAAAGTTTCCTACTCGGCGGTGTGGCAATTTTTCGTCAAGCCGCCCGAGGAAGTAAACGTAGCCGTATGTCGACTATGTGGCCAGAAAGTCAAGCGTGGCCAGGGGGCCAATGTTGGGACTACAGCGTTGCGTCAGCATATGCAGCGTCGCCATTCGGTGGCCTGGGAAAACCGTGATAAAGATACGGCGGTTCTGCCTGCCCCAGCCCCCGCTCCATCACCCGCTCCGTTACTTGCTCCGTCACCCGACGTCAATCGCCCTCTATCAGCCAGTCAAGGCTCCAACACCTCTGCTGAGGGGAGTTGTCGCTCGTTGGCATCTTCCGCTCGTTCAGATGCTCCTTCTCCTGCTACTCCTCTTCACGGATTCCGTCAGCAGTCTTTCTTGGAATCCGTTTCCAAGAGACAACAGTTTGCGAGCACGCACCCGACGGTGCAGAAGCTGAACGTCCTCCTGTCCAAGTTGCTGGTGCTGCAGTCCCTCCCTTTCCAAGTGGTGGACTCAGCACCTTTCCGAGAAATGATGGCTTGTGCCGAGCCGCGTGGTGGAGAGTGCCAAGCCGGCATTTTCTTCGCCAAAAAAAGGCAGTGCCAGCCCTGCATTCACATGTAGAAGAGATGGTGGGCCAGTCTTTGAGCATGTCGGTCTCTGCCAAAGTGCACGGCAGCGCCGACGTGTGGAGCTGTAACTACGGTCAGGGACAGTACATGTCATTTACGGCCCACTGGGTGAACGTGGTGCCGGCACAGCCGCACCAGCACTTGGACAGGTCACGCCGCTTTTGCCTCCACGTTTGCACGTCCTTGGTCCAGCAAAGATGTCCGCCTCTACCACCTCTTCTTCCGCCGTGTCCTCAGCCGCCACCCCGTGCCAAGTCCCATTACCCGACCGGCATATCACATGTGCAGGGCGCAACGGTGTCACGCTGTGCTGCACCTGGTATGCCTTGGCGAACGTAGTCACACAGGGGAGGAACTTCTGAGTGTAATGAACAGAGAAATCGACAGATGGCTGTCTCCGCGCAAACTGAAAATCGGAAACCATGTTGACGACAACGGAAAGAACATGGTGTCTGCTCTGCGTCAAGGAAGGTTGTGCCATGCGCCATGCATGGCTCACGTGTTCAATTGGTTGTAGCGGCAGAGAAACGGAAATTCCCAGATCGCTAGATCTGCGACGTTGCAACAAGGTGGAATTCAAACCCTACATATGTTAGACCGCCTTTACGAAAACAGCGAAAGGGCCCTCACCGATTTCCGGATGTTAACAAGCGGATAAAGGTACTACCTTGTGTAACTTAGATGGTCAGACATTGGCGCTCATGCGTTAACACCTGCCGTTTGCTTCAGGGGCCTTTGAGGAGGGCCCCACGCTATTCGTGAGTCGGCAGGGGGACTAAGGGATATGAAAGACGTCGTCATTCCTACGTTGCACGTCGATGGAACAAAATGCTGTTAACAATGGCTGGGCAGGGTGCGGTTATTTAGACGTGGCGCACAGATCTCAAAGGCCACTTGACCCCTGTGGGCGGCAGGACAGGGAAAGAAGAGGAGGAGGTAGGGAGGGACATGGGCTCAGGAATTATTGAGTGAAAGGGTGGTTTTTCACTCAGCGGACAGGGTGGAGGGAGGGCATTGGTAGGGAGGAGGAGGAGGGGAGAGGCCCCGAGCCCCGGCGTATGCTGTGGAGATGGGGGCAGGGGTCCCCCGCATTCCTTGGCACAAATGGCCCCTGCATGCTCGGTTGCTTTGGGAGCGAAGCCGAATAATAACCCCCGACAGAGGGGTGACTTTTGGCGTCCACCTTTTGGACCCTCCTACCCTTCAAAAAAAAGGTGGCCCTTTTCCCCCCCCACCTGTGAGAGGGGGCCAAAAAAAATTTCTATAAAAACACCCTTTTAGTAGTTGGGCTCGCCTTTCTGCGCCAAGTCCATCCTCGACACTGTGGGGTCCCCGGTTGCGCCCTCGCGGGGGGGTTGGGGGGGTTGGACGTGGGGCCCCCAAAGGGGGCGG